GCAGGCAGCTGTTGCATTGCATTGCCACTATCCGATCACCAGAGCGTCTTTCGAAAGATGCAGCCATATTTGCTTTGTCGCTGCCGGGAGTTACAAGCGACGAGAACTGTTTTTTTTGTTCCCCCCTTCAACGTGTGATTTCTCCCGTTTGACCGATCCGCCACTGCCCCCCGTTTCGTCCTCTCGACGACGCGTGGTCAATCCAACCGCTAAGGCATGCAAAACATGAAAGTACACCACCCCCCCCCCCCCCCCCCCCCCCCCCCCCCCCCCCCCCCCCCCCCCCCCCCCCCCTTTTGCCGCCCCTCCCCAAGGTGATGGAACTCCTAGAGAAGGTTGGCAGCGGCCGCTTCCTAGAGGCCTTGACGGGGGTCAACATGGAGATCTCTCGGAAGCGGGTGGCGCGAAAGCGGCAGCGTGCGGTGGAGAAGGCCACGGATCCGGTTGCGGCGGCAGAGTGGCGAAGGGAACGCACAGAAGCCGGGAAGGTGAGCTATCACAGGACAGAGTTCGAGGGTTGAAGACGCGAAGTTGTCGTTACGTCTCCGAGAGAAACGAGCGCTCCAAAGGGATACTCCGGATGTGATACCCCCGACACACAGGAACATAAACGCCTGTGGCAAGTTTGACGTTTTTGCTGCTACCTTGTGGAGTTGTGTGTGTGCCCACATGGATCTTTCACGAATTTGACGACTTGCACTAGCTCTCCGTGAAAGTGACCACTCCAACGGGGTCCTCCAGATCTGATACCCCAAGATGCAACAAAATGAAACGCCTCTTGCAAGTTCGACCGGTTCAACAAACAGCGTGCGCCGCCTGATGTATACACAAACTTCCTCTTTTAGACGCCTAAGTTTTCACGAGTTGTGGAGATGTGCGCGTGCCCACATCGATGCTCGCTTTGTCTTGTTGAGCGTGGCGCAACAGAAGGACGATCGTGACTGACGACAGAGAGAGCGGAACATGCCAAGATCTTCGATAGAACGATTACTGTGTGGTAGCGGAGAGCAGTCGGCGCCACATTCTTGGGCAAGTAAATTGGACGTATGAATGCCTCTCTGCTCCTGTGCTCGAGCTCGCTGCCCCGCCGTCCCTCCGAACCAACTTCTTGGTAGATCCAGAAGCGGAGAAAGGTGGAAGAGTCGGCCAAGCTCCGAGGAGGGACCAAGCGCATGCGAACGGGGGGCATAGGCATACCCGGCCCCGGCGCCTCAAGGAACGGAGGGGGGCGCGGTGGACGAGATAGTAGTAGTAGGGGGGGTATGAGGGGGGGGCAGGGGGGCGGCAGAGGCACGGGGCAGGGGCGAGGTGGTGGTCGGCGTGTTGGTGGGAGAGGGGAGGGGGAGAGGCGGAGGCGGTGGTAGGGGCGGGGGAGGCGGACGTGGTTGACGACAAGCGACACGGTTGTCGTCGTTTACCTAGCACGTTGTAGCGAGGGAGCCGGTGATGACGACTGGGTTGTCAAGGAATGAAAAGGCGACTAGGAGAGAATGGAGCAATAAATGGCGCACCGATGCGGATTCGGATTCAATGCCCTCGACGTGTGATACGCGAAGGTTCGTTGAGTCCCAAGCTGAAGTCACGCGACGGAAGTCAACCAACGAGCAGGCNAGAGAATGGAGCAATAAATGGCGCACCGATGCGGATTCGGATTCAATGCCCTCGACGTGTGATACGCGAAGGTTCGTTGAGTCCCAAGCTGAAGTCACGCGACGGAAGTCAACCAACGAGCAGGCCCTCTCACAACCGGTAAGATATTATTGGGTCCAACCTCACCTCTAATATCGCCAGCACACCATACGTTCTGACCCCCGTCGAGTTAGTCAACGACACACTTAAACCCGGTCACCCCGGTGGTCTAGTGGGCCTTGCAGCCCACTAAGGGCCAGGTCATGGATTCGAGTCCCGGCAGGTTGAGTTTTTTTTTCTCACCAAATAAATCCCGGTCTAAGTTGGAAGCGACGCGCTGCGAAGCAAGTTGTAACTAAGCTCGATCGACTCCATAAGTCGCGAGGGAAGGGATACCCTTCTCGCGATAAAAACATCTTAGGCAGGAACCGCAGGAGGGGTTCCAGCCCCCCCCTCCTATGTGACCCCGGTTGGGTCGTCTAGCTAGTAGAAGTGGAGGATGGGGGCCGGAGGGGCAGACGACGAGTCCAAAAATGGGAGAAAAAAATATTCTTTGAAGTATCATATGTATAAATGTATCGGTAGGTGTAGACTGGCGCACAGAATTAGAAAGGCGAAATCGCAACAAACGCAATTGATCAGATTTTTGCGATGAGACAAACGGCGGTTTGTTGAGGAATTACCCCCGTTGGTTGGCGATTACGCGTCAAAAACGACCCGAGCAACGCCGACAAACATCATGTGCACACTTGGTCAAGAAAAATATGCGGCCTCGAAAAAATTCAATTCAAAATCTAAGAACTTGGCCGTAAGAACACGTGCTCAGTTTCGATGTGGTCTGAGAAAAATACCCCGCACATAAATTTGTGTACCAAAGCGCATACAAAAGAGAAGAAAGAGCCCCGAAACGCGGCGGCTGCAAGTCAAGAGCACATGAACTCGGGGGTAACCAAAGACCCCACCGGCAGTTTCAGATCCATCCGTGGCGAGGACGGAGGCGAGTGTACGCATGCCGGGGTCGATAGACCATTGACCTCGCATCCCCACCATGCCGGGAAGCAGCGATATGGCGGGGGTTCGCCGGCCGAGGCGACGTTTCACAAGAATCAACCAGAAGCTGGCTATCATCCTCGCGTTTGCTGTACCAAACCAGATATACGCCATGGATTGATCGGGCACCCCAGCTAACCAAACATTTGGTCGGGGTGGGGGGTTGCGGGGGGGGTGTACTCATCCGTGTAGGGGGGGGGAGGCTCCTGAAACATTTCTGGGGGGGGGGTAGATGCGAGACATCTCTGGTGTGATACTGCCTGTATTGCGTGCCACACTGTGTACATGGTGGTGCACTCTAACATCTAGACTACGCATTCTACGAAAAGCTAAACATTTTCGTTGTTCCAGGGTCAGACGACACTACTCATCAAATAATATCTTCTGAACTCGCCCTCTTCTACATAGACGTGTAGATAGTTATGCTTAAGCTCTCGGGCACTGAGAGCGCAGAATCGGAGCGCTTACAGCGAAGCGGAGGGATTAGACTCCCCCTCAATTCAAGACGCTACCATCAACCCTTCGCGTAGCCCGCGCAAGAACCCCAATTGACGTCTCCTCGTGGCAGTGTCCGCCAGGAAAGTCTTTCCTCCACCACCTACCCGTCGAGGGGCTGTGCGGTCGCACGCCTCGAGCGTTACACCACCGCAGAGTACGCCCTAATCTGGCACTTCCCGCCTGCATCCCGGACATTCTTCGCTGGACTGTCCATGTGAAAAGAATCGCGCTTGTGATCGGCCGAGCTTGCTGCGGAGGAGTCAACGTCACGTTGCAGAATCACCTATTCTGTGCTCGGCGGGTAGGGTCTTTACCTTCTTCGCCAAATGTGGTCGTTCGTACGTAAGGTTGGTATACGTTACTGGAAGGGCGGACCCTCTTCATGTGTGCAGGGCTTGCTTGCCCTGCTGTTCACTCCATAATAACAAGGTCTTGAGTCAAACTTTCTCCACAGCCTCTGACGCTAAACAAGGAAAAAAAAATGCGCAAGAAATCCAAACAACGACACAAAACCAAACAAGGACGACGCGGAAAACGATTTCAACAATAACACAGAAAAACAGAAACAGCAACTTACAAAAATCGAAGGGCCGGGCCGATTGCTCTCCGATGCAAGGGCATCGAAAAATGTGAAAACTACAAGAAAAACCAACAGGAGCAACAATTGGGAGCAAACATGAAAACAGAAGATCGCCAACCGCGACACGAAGGTACATCGCACGCAACACAAAGATATACCGCACGCACGCACGCATGTACGCACCCCTAGAGCCAGGTTGGGGTGTACTGATATTTTCTACCTGGCCATTTGTGACACACACTCCCATGCCTGTCTGGTCTTGAGGCCAAACACATGTGCTTGACACACCCCGTTCAGAAACAAACCTGCCCTCGCCCTACGCAAACCAGTCGGAAGGAAAAAAAGCGTTTCCAATCACGCCAACTGCGCACAGCTGAAGCACATCGCGATTGGACCCGAATTGGCAGGCGCACAGAGTGGTGGTTGGTGGCCATGGCTTGATCGTCGACCGTGCTCGTCGTGGAGGGTCATCTGCGCCCTGCGATAAGAGTACGAAATCCCGACAACACAGCGGGGTAGCGCCCGGCAGCGCATTTGCGGCTTGTTTTCGTCCCGTTGTCGAATATCGAAGACAACGTTTCGCGGCAATACGAACCTTGGTCCGCAGCGGCGTCGCTTGTGGTGGGGAAATGAACCGCGCAGTGGAGGATATATATCTGAGCTAGCTAGCTTTGCGATACAAATACCCACCAAGGAAACGAAGCCAAACACGAGAGAAGCCTACTACTCCCTGGTAAGTCATGCAAACAAACACCAGCAGAGCTAGCGCTTCCACGCGGCCCGGTGACCGGCACGAGAACAGGTGATGCAAAATGAGCTGTGCACGGGGGTAAGCTCTTTGTGCAGGACGAGGAAAGAGGGGTTGTCGAGCGGCGCAGAGGAGAAAACATAGCAACTGGTCTACGCGCGAGACCTCCAGAAAGCGTCCGCTTGTTGTGTTTGCCTACAACTCATGACGGCCGACTTGAACGGAACCATACGTTCGATTTACTCCGCCAGACTTCTGAGCACGCAAGATTTTACAGATAGGAATAGTCCTTTCCGGGTCAAGGATTAGATCTCTCACTGTGGGACGAAGAACCAGCCCTACTTGGTGGCGTTGTCAAACGAGATTCGAAAACAAGCGGTTATGTGTTCTCCTCAAACCAAAACTTGAAAGTACACAAAGTCATCAAACAGTCTAAACACGCACCATTAAGAATGTCCCTCGGGTTCATTTTTGACGCACAAAACGCGTAAGGTTAGTCGCCTACCGGTGCCCGTACGGTTCTTGTTTCCTAGCCTCCGGAACCATCGAAAGTTCGAGATCCTAGCCCACCATTCTGAGTAGCTTTATCTAGCAAGCAAATGCGCACGGAATGGAAACGAGCAAGGGCCAAGGGCCACACGCGTTAATGCCCCCAAGAACCCGTCGACCGAGCCAACTCACATGTTCGCTTGTTGTTCTTTGCTGTCTAGTGCCCTCTGATGCCGGCTATGGGTAGCATCATGTTCGCAAAGCCTATCTTCATGATCGCGATGCCTTTCGTCCTGCAGCGCCGCAAACTCTTTCAGCTGGTCGTGGGTCACCGGCTGGTGGTCCGTCACCGCCGCCGCTGGTAGAGATAGCACCAGCAACCGGGCAAAAACAAGACAGGAACAAAGAGTCGGAACGGTGTGAACCGTGCAGCTGGTCACGACTCCTCCTACTAGTTCTCGACACAGTATCAGTTCCGTTACAATTTGTCGCGTTCAGTCCAAGATACCGTAAGATTCTTTGTCGTAGCCGGGGGGCTATCTTTTCATTGTGTTAAAACCAAACAACCCGGGGCTAAAGCAAACGTCGAGGGGCGACAATCAAGACAACGGAAAAAAAAACGGGAACCTCGGTGCTGCGAAGTTTATGTGTACCCTTGCGGTGTTTTGGGGGGTAGGGGGATGCGACCATGTAGGGGTTCTACGACAAGGATACTACGGTATGCCGACGCCAGAGGAGAGGACATTGATAAACCAAAGCCGTTTGTAGATAAACGATGAAATTCTAAAAGTAACCTTCCTTCTGTCCGGAGCGCTCCCGAACGGACCAGGTACATGTCTGGGAAACCTCCAGAGGAAGCAGCAAATGTGGGTTGCTGTTACAGCATGAGTTCTTCGAATCATGATTTAGTATTGCGACTTTCAAGTTCCGCATTGAAAGGAAAAACAACGCCGTCAGATCCAATCGAACGAACCCGAACGAAGACATGGCAAACAGCCGAGAAGATCTGTGCTCTTTTCCGATCGAGACCCGAGGCATTAATAGAGAGATGTGGCCTGGCCTTTATTGAACACCGAGGAATCAAGCAGGGCATGTGGAATTCAGTGAGTGCCAGCGCAAAGAAACCGAGGCCATCGAGCTGCCGTACAACATTTATTGGCACGACCGCAATGCCGCCAGAGCTAAAGTGGGGACGCCAGAGCTTAAGTGGGGACGTGGCTTGGATCATTATCACCACTTGGCCCTAAATGCGATTGGAGTGTACTTTTCGCGCATTCATGACCGGTGCGTCGGCCGAGTTTGTCGCTGGTACTGCTTGTGCTTCAACATCGTAGGCTTAGCCACACCCTTAAGCTAATACATAGGACAAAAACGATTACTGGAGCAAGCAGCGAAGTCGTATTGGTATGTATACATCTGCTGAACGTCAATACTCAGTTATATACTTGGGGCCTTAACCGATATCTGGCAGGAATCGCAAGCTGCTTGTTGTCAGACTGCAATTCCTCAAACTCTGCTGGCCGCCTCTCTTCAGCGACCTCTAGTGCTTCCAATTTTGCTTGCCGCCTCTCATCGGCGAGCTCTAGTGCTTCCAATTTTGCTTTGAGAGCGGCAAACTCCGCGTCCCGATCCAAGTCACCGTCGTGGGATGGAGCTGGTACCGCAGGATACTCCACCAACGATTTGTCTTCCGCACGGGGGGGTTTAGTGACCCTACTGCCGGACCCGCCGGCGATGACCTCCAGCAGCTTCTCAACCTATTCAGATCACCGTGTGTCCAAAGCAAGTGCTTAAGCAAACGAGAGGGCAATCGATGAAAATTCTCCGTCGAAGAAAGTGTCACTCGCATGCCTCCCACTTTCACCCGGAGGGTGCAGTCTCCGAGGGTCAGAGACGCAGTCGTTGCAGGTCTGGATCAAAGTCTGAACCTGGGTCGCGCGCCAGAAAACCTGCGGCGGCTGAGAGAACCACGGCGAGACGCAAAACAAGCGCGTCCGGTGGGTTTGTGCATACAGCAGCCTCTCACCTTCTCTTCTGTAGTGTTCGTGCCTAGGAGGCGGCCTTGTCCCACTGCCATCAGTAGCTTCTTGAGGTGCTGTTTCCCAAGCCGCCTCCCAGCCTGTCAAGACCGGTGACCATACAAAAGTACGGTATGCATCATGTGCCGACGTTACCCACGCAAAAGTATTTAGTGAACAAACTTGTGCAACATTGGGTGCCACGGAAGGCCGAAGCGCCAAGTCCCTTCCTACCTGTTCTGCGGGGGTCCCTCTGCTTGCGGTGGTGTTGGCCTCGTGGTTCGCGACCTCTTCCGTGAACCATTCCATGACGGCTTCCTCGCTCGTACCGTCTGGCAACGCGCCGAGGTCCAGATTCCAACCGCGCCCTCCTGAGACACGGATCACAGCAAACGGTTTGTGGACTGCGGTCGTCTATGGTTTAGGTGTTGCGCCAATGTTAGCTCTCCGGTGGGTTTGAGATGTCGCACGTGACGGCATGTGTACAGTACCCTGAACGACAAACAATAAAGGGACAGGTACGTACACGAAAATTTTCTTTCCGGAGACTACTGGTAACATGGCACAACCACTCGAAGTAAAATCCCGATGCACGGAAAACACGGGCAAAGCCCATGCACAGCACGAACATCAACGTTTACGGACTTTCGGGCACGTCTTCACCCTACACCACCGCCGCGGCGCACAAGGCCTCAACAGCTTGCCCGATTTTGTCCGAAATTCCGGTAGATATTCCCACCAAAACCTACTATTTTTTCGTGTATGCATACCCACCTTGGTTGCTGTGTGACCCCCCTGTGTCCGAAATGTACCCGCTCTTGTCAAAAACCAATTTTCCATTCGAAAAGTTCCCCCGTGCGGAGACGTGGAGGTCGATTTTCGAATGCAAAAATCGGACAAAAGTGGGTACACATTCGGACAAGAGCGGGTACATTTCGGGCAAAAGTGGATCACACAGCAGACCAAGGTGGGTATGCACACGTGGAAATTGTAAATTTCGGTGGGAGTATGCACCGGAATTTCGGACAAGATCGGGCAACCTGTTGAGGCCTTGTGCGCCGCGGCGGTGAATAGGGTGAAGACGAGGCCGAAAATCCGCGAACGTTGATTTTCATGCTGTGCATGGGCTCTGCCCATGTTTACCATGCATGCATCGGAATTATGCTTTTCAGTGGTTGTGCCCTTTCACCAGTAGTCTCCGCAAAGCACATTTTCGAGTACCCACGTTTGTCTGAGAAAGGGGTCGGAGAAAGGGGTCGGAATATCCACTTTAGTCTGTTTCCCAACAATGAAATTGGGATCAACTCCCTTCCAACTACACGACTGCTACTTGTATGGATCTGCTTCGTGTGTGCAGGAACAGAGTTTGGGGGTATCCCACCCAGTCACCGGGCAACGTGTACTCCACCTCGGCTGAACAAAACTCGCAGGTTTCTGCGTGCACACAACACCAGAATGTGAATGGTATGGATGGCTGTGGATTCTACATCATACCATCTTGCGAGCGACGGTGCTGCCCACCAAGGGACGTGCCAGCCGTACAACCCAGTGGCACGTACGGACATCATTCTTACCGACCGAGTTGTCGGTCGTGGAGATGGTGCCGGCGGCAAGACCTTCCGTCATTCGTAGGGCCAATCTTCTCGCCAGCGAACAGCGCTCAACCGCATCAGCTGCCAGGTCGGTGATCTGCCAATCATCAAAAAGTTGGTTGAGGCCGGTGGGCCGACTGTGAACGTAAGTCGAAGGCTGAAGATGCTACACTGGACGCATACAGCATTTAGCAACGACGCCCAGCTACCCTACACCCCACGCCCATGAAAATCTGCTCACCTTGACCACTCGTCGAGTTTGCATGCGGTGGTCCCTGGCCTTCAAAGCTGCGGCTGCGAAGCTCGCAAGTCCACCGACAACGGGAACCGCGTGAGAGAGCAATTGCATTGCCTCTCCAGCCTGCAAGAGGGCAACCAGCACGTCGGGCTTCGATATGGCGCACGGGCACCAAGAGCATTGCACAGAGAACACTGCAGGGACAGCGCTCAACGAACACCCAACACTTGGGTCAAACCTCAGCACTCACCATGCCCATACCACCGGACTTGCTTGTACGGACCAAGCTACTGCCGACGACGCTTGCAGCGAGATATGCGTTACACAGACCGGTTCCAAACCAAGGTGAAGTATGCCTTGGAACACGGCGGTAAGGTCAGCTCCTTCTGCTGTAGGCTCTTGTGTCCCAGATGTCTCGACTGCGTAGTTGAGTAACAAAGCGAAAATTTGCGCCAAGTCGAAGATGACCATCGGGGACACGCACAAAGGCCACCAACAAATTGCACACTGCTTATCTTGTGCGGTGCGTAATACACCATACGGCCTTCGGCTGGACAGTGTAACAAAAGCTCTTCCCCACGATCATGAGAAATCCCCGTTGGCGACACGTCTTGCTTCAGCCAAGCATACTTGTAAATAATCCTCAAAGAGGTACTGTAAGAGGTACATGGGACGGGGCTTCAGTTTGATGGCGGGTAGGCAAGATTTTCGCATAACTTGAACAAGATCGGAGCAAGTTGGTGTCGGGAGAACCGGCTTGGTTCGAGGTTGAGACAACGAACACCGATACAGCCAAACGTTTACGATGAGTCACCTATTACACTCAAACTTGCTGGGCCGTGGCAAGTAGTGCAAGGCGGTCGATGGGATGATTTTTCGCGCCTCGGCGGTTCGACTAAAAAAAGTGCGTGGTGCCTCCGACAGAACAGTGATCATGACAGACACATTCTTTCCCAAGGAGCGGTGAAGCCTCTAGTTCTAACTACGACCCAAGAGAAAAACACTCATTGCAGCACTCACCGCCACTTCGTCAAGAGCCTTGGCCATTGCTACCAGCCGGTCGAGCTCGCGCAGCTTGTCTGTGTCGGTTGATTCAGTACCGCGGGGACAGCTATTGGCCGGTTTTCTGATGAGCCGTTTCACCTCCTGCAGAGTTTCGTGATTCTCTCTCACGAGACTATCTTACTTTGCAAAGGAAGCAACCTGCACCCGAAACACGTCCTCCGCATCTCCCTTCCCCGACGAGGATAGGCCTGTCCTCCATCGGCCGTTTTGCTTGTATGACGGAAAATAAGAAGGTGGAATTACTTGAAATTAGTATAGAAATAAAGTTTGTGTATCTAAATCGAAAATAAAACGGCCGACGGAGGACAGGCCTAGACGAGGAACTGCGTTCATCGGGAGCGACATTGGTTCCGCCCCGCTCCAATCTTGCGTGTTCCTCGGCCAGACTCTGCTCGGCGCGTTCCTGCTCGGCGCGTTTCTGGTCGGCCAACCTCGACTGCAGCCTGGTTGTCCACGCCCGAAGAGACTCGTTCCCCCGAGGTCCCCCTGCAAGAGCGGGAGGGAAACTTGTCGCCGATTCCAACATTCTCGCGTTTTACTAGGTCTTCAGCAGGTGCACACAGGGCTCGACTATGCCAAACGCTATCTCAGCTTCAACGTTTTGTGTTCGCTGCAAGTTTCACTCGTGAGGTTGGAATACTTTACCTCAGGGTGGGTTGGAAATGTCGGCATATCAAGTCAAAGTACTCGCTACAACACGTGCGGGTTTGGGCACTATGACAGAGGGCTTTGTTTGGGGGCACTCAGCACTCGATACGGATCTACGGAGATCTAGGGGGTTTCCTTAATCATTGGTGTTACGTAATTGTAGAGAAGCGGCCCCGCTTCTGCTTGCATGGGCGAGCATGCCCTGCGCACTCGTAAATATAAAGGTCTTGAGTCATCGTTGGCTTCTCTGCGCGTTGACAACAAGCTGCCCGCCTCCAAATACAATCGATCGGGGCTGGTTGAGGGCAGCCGGTAGGAGCGTAAGGCGCTTCGCGGTGTACCGCTTCGCTCGTAGGTAGGTTGTATGGCGATGTCAAGAGTGCGCGGGTTGAGTTTTGAAATGGGAGGAACGGAGGAGCAGTGTTGTTGTGAAAAGAACAAGGAAGGGTTGTGAACAGGAAAAGTTGTTTGTTCTCATTTGTTCGAGAGCGGAGACGCACAATGAATGAAGTTACAGCAGTGATGCGACGGCCGGAGGACAGTATTGCAAGAAGACTTTGTTTTTTATGGAACAAAGCCTCGCTTCTCTCTCCCTTTCCCCCTCTCCTATGTGTGCTACCCACCTCTCCCTCAGCGAGACGGTACAGACAGCCGAACAATTTTTGCTGGTAGGGTGTATTCTTCGTATGTACAGCGGTCGGTGGTGATAACCGGCGTTGAGTACGGGAGGCGAGGGAAGCAGCCGCGCAAATCAGCTTGTTTAGCACGTTTTGAGTGTGTGTGTTTTCGTCCTATTTACCATGGCGAAAGTTCCCACATTTTTCGTGGTGAGACGTGTACTACACTATTCAGTGTGTGTAGAGTACTACACTCTTCAGTGTATTTTTCGTACAGCTACAACCATCCAGGGTCACACAGGAGAGTGTAAACACCAGGGCTTTTTCTTCTTTTTATACATTTTCGTGCCCAACCTTCCTCCTGCGGTGCGTGCTGAGTGAAAGCAAAAAAAAAAAAGCAGGGAATATCAGAATCGATTTACGGAGAATAAATCTGAAACAACACGCACCATCATTTATTTTTTTCCTCTGGGGCGGGTGGAGTTTTGCAGACAGCAACTGTGCGCACGACACCGGCCGCTGACCCCCCCCCGCTTCTCGTCGGGATCGAAAGGGAGACGCACCACAGCAGTAGAATGCTTTGTCTCACGTCCTGCAGAGACTTGGTTGCTTGGATGTCGCGTGTGGCGAGGGTGTGTAGCCAGCGCGTACGCACCACGGCCAGCCGCTTGCCGAATGCATGAATGGCCTGCTCTGTCAAGACATCGGGGTCTGATGGGTGGAGTTATGGTAAATCTCGGAGACGCGACTTCATGCCCTCGGTAGCGCTTGGCGACGGCCGCCCCGAGAGCGAGCCGCGCTCGGGCGAGGCCCTCGCGGCCCAGGGCTGCCGGCAGGCGCGAATCCCGCGGCGAAAGGGGGTGTCCGGGCTGAGAAACCGCGAAAAAAGCGCTCTAGGCTCACGAGAGCACCAGCATCGGACATGCTGCAATCTCGTGAGCCCTTAGCCCGTAGGAAACCCGTCTACAGGTTTATTGCTGCGAGACGTGCTAATTGCGAGATGTGCTAATTGCGAGACGTGCTATAGGGGCCGTGTCACTTCCGGAACGGCAACGTGGGCAGTATTTTTTTGAGAGCGCATCACTTTCGGAACAGCAGCGTGGGTGGTATTATATGGGAGCCGTATCAATTTCGAAACGGTAGCGTGGTGTCCAATCTGTGTACTGTGTGTGTGATCAGCAACCTCTTCTGGAGCTGGTACCTCAGGAAAGCCGACGTATAAAGAATGGCCGAACCGGAGCAGCCATCGCTCCTAGGGGAAGAAAGAAGCGCTGCGCGCGAGCATCAGCGGGAGACTCCATATCCCCAATTTCGTACGGTTTCCGGCGCGGAATGCGGCAGCACCTGCGGCGACTGCACCTGCCCCTGGCACTGTCGCTGGAGATGACGTGCGTAGTTTTCGGATATGCGGCGGAACTCGGTACACTGCTTTGAACCCTTCTGTCGATAGGGCTACGGGTCACGCGCTCATGAGTGGTGCTGGGCGTCTACAGGGAGGAAATAGCAATGATTAGCAGACGCAGCAGCAGCAGCAGTGGGGTGGTTCTCGCCAGCAGTAGCAGTTGGGCGGTCCTCCCCGCCAGAAGTACCAGCAGCAGCAGTGGCGTGGTGGTCCTCTACAGCAACGCCCGTAGCAGCGAACACAATGGTTTCGTGTCACGTGGGGGTGGTGTTCCGCAGGGGCTGCGGTATCGACACCAATCGTATCAACGCCACCGGCGTCCGTCCTTGCCTCGTGCTGCCTCACGGCGACCCTTCTACGGTAAGCCGTAGTATGGTCCGTTCGGGCAAATATTCACAATATTTTCCCCTGCACAAAGGTGCACTTTTCTCGGGGTGGGGATACTTATTCCGAAATCTGAAAATACCGCGTAAATCGACGTTGTAAGGCGCATCTTCTCACGGAGATTTTTTTTTTTTCGTCCTTCGCTCGATATGTTAAGATATTCAAGAAATATTGCTTACTTTCTGGAGGGCGGTGTTTTTTGCAGACACAAAATCTGAGACCGGATTTGGACAGCTCTTGTGATTTGCCACCGATGATTTTTTTCCGATTTCCAATTTGACAAAAAATAACGGAGTTATGGGCAAAACCCGATATTGGAGGGTATTTTGCTTAGTTTCTTGGGGACAATCCAACCGTACGATTCAAAAATAAAGTGCTGCAATCGATTCCTCTCGTGATTTCCCACCGATGATTTTTTTCCGATTTCAAAAAAAAACTCGGGTTTCGGAGATATTTCGGGTGGTTTCACACGCCCTCGGGGAATTTTTTCCCGCCACACACACACCAGAGGACACACACACACACACCCTTTACGCACGCAACGAAAGACGCACACGCGCTCCGGGCACATGGGTCGCCCAAAGGGTAAGCGCAAGCTGCCAAGGAACGCCGACGGCACGATTCGGAAGGCCCCTTCGCCCCCTGCGGACCCTGCTGTAGGCAACGACTCTCCTCCCTCTTCCGACCATGAAGGCGCCAATATTTCTCCCATGCACACCAACGACCACGACGACGACTGGCCCCACCGCCGTTCTCATCGGCCTGCCGAAAGGAGGAAAGCAGCTGCTCATGGAGATGGGGCTGTGGGAAGGCGAGCCAACCCTACGCGTTCACGAGTGCAGCGCGTGCAGCGCGGAAAAGGCGGCAACAAGGCAAGCCATTACCGCCTTCAACCGCGGTGGAGAGGGGCGGCAGCAGGTGGTGGACAACACGGGGCAGGGAGAGGAGGACGGCGGAGAGGACGGGGACTCGGGTGGGAGCGGGGCAGCTGGTGAAGCAGGCAAGAGGCGTCGCTGCTGCGTCGTGCGCGTTCTGTCTGAGCTCAAGGCGTTCAGGGAGGAGCTCAACATGGTTGAGAAGCTCTTCAAGGCACACGGGCACCTGTGCATCTTCTTGCCGAAGTACCACCCAGAGCTCAACGCAATCGAGCGATACTGGGGGTACATCAAGCACCTCCTCCGCCTCCACTGCGAGTATTCCCTTCGCCACATGCTCCAGGTCTTGCCCGGCGCGTTGAGCGGCGTACCCGCACGGTTTATCCGCGCATGGAGCAGGGTGACGTGGCTGTACATCGAAGCCTACGACGAGGGCCTGGAGGACTACCTCGAGTACCGCGATCTCAAGGAGTGGGGGAAGCACCGAGAAGCCACCGCCAGGGGAGATGCCGTGATTCAGGCGAGGGGGGCGGGGAAGACGCCGGAGCAGAAGAAGGCAGCCGAGGCGAAGGCGCTTGCGGCTGCGCAGGAAGTGCGCAAGAAGTCGATGGCAGCGACCAGGGAAGCCTTCAACACGTGGACGAGCAAGAGAGCCTCCCGGAAGGAGCAGCTACGGCTGTGGATTTTGCGCAACACGATGAATTTTTTGAGGAAATGGTTGGGCGGGCACGCTCAGGCGTGAGTGGGGAGGGTACGTATCTATATGTCGCGGTGTGTTGTAGTGTTGGTTTCTCGCGTTTAGGCGCGGTAGAGGCGTTCGTCATGGTCACCAACTCAACGCTATAGCTGTCTCTCTTGGTATCGGACTTGCTAAGAGAGAACGGATGTGATTGCTGCATGCTTTGTTTGCAGCACCTTCACCAGCCAGGGGTTGAGTAGAAAGTAAACGGCGGTATTGTATGTATGTATGTACATATGTAACGTGTAAATAATGTAAATATGGATTGACAACGGTTTAACTGATGTTCTGAAGGCATATACGTGTAGAAGGGAGGGGTTGAGGGGGGGTCGTGGTGTACTTTGGGGGCTCCGTGGGGTCATGAGGGGGTGGAGGCTCCGTGGGTCATTTTGGTCAAAAATGTCCCATTTCACCCAATCACCAAAAACTCATCGGATATCGACGAAGCTCGACGCCGCGGTCACGCCCAAAGTTGTTTCACTTTCCAAATCGTTTTTTTTCGAAAGATATCGCGAAAAACAAGATTGTGAATATTTGCCCGACCGGACCATATGGGATTCGGGGGAAGTTACGACTGCGGGAAGAACGCGGGGTACCATCAGCCAGACTCTGCTTCAACCGCATTTGCCGGTGGGTGTAGTGTATGGTATGGAAATCATGGGCACACGGCTACGCACTGTGCTGCACCGAGGCGGTTTGAGGGCACATCCTCCAAGTGCGGTGAATATGGCCACATCTCAAACGTTTGTGTCATGCGTGGTGATGGAGTGGCGCACCAGCATGTGAACGCCGTTACGACGCCTGCGACGACTTCCTCCCTTGTGGGGGACATTTCCGCAGAGGTGGAGTTGACTTCTTCTT